GATAAAGATGGTGACATGAAGAGAACGATGTAAAAAGCAGAGAGCAAACCAAGGAGAGATTGGTAATGGACAAGCCAAAAAGGAGGGAGGTGGAGATAAATGGGGAGAGATGAGGATCATGGGTTGAAATGGAATGAGGCCATGACAAAGATGTGATGAAGAGGCAGGGGCCAATGAATAGGTGAACTTAACTATAAAGCAGCAGAGAGACCGAGGTAAGGTGTCTGTGTTATACGAAAGATGAGAAGAGAAATTCAAAGGAGAGGTTATGTGTTGGAGGGAATGTGTAGAGAATGAGAATTCAGAGCTGTAAAGTGGGAGGCAACTTGTTTTATGCAACAAGTTGTGAAGAAGGATAAAATGGATGAGTAGAAAAATCCTCCGAGCATTGCACTGGAGTTGTCAAGGTTACAAAGGTACACTGAATCTACAACTTGGATCATTTAGAAGGTAAACTTATATCAGTTTAATTATCATTTGCCTATATCTTGGCTTGAGCTTACATATATCTAAAGATCTGGCCCCTTGCCGCTTACCCTACTATTTTCAGATGGCCAAGTAAGCCTGGCCAGATGGGAGCTGAGTCAGCTGTGGCTTGCAAAAAAGCTAGACCTTGCCAAAGTCTGTCAAGGGCTGACAGGAAAAGCAAAACAGATGAGAAGTCAGTTGCACACAAAGAGCAAACATTTGAGTATGATTAAAACATCCGCTGGTTATATAGACGTCAATTATCATCTAGCGACAGCTCTGACGAGTTTTGACAAGAAAAGTACATCTGATAAATCAAAAGAACTAAAGATAAATTATTTAGATGATTTGGGGATTTTTTCATTTAGGTTTAACTTACTTTCTAATGATTGTAGAAATATGACGACTCCTTCACCCACTCACTGCTTGCTTATTCATGTGTATGAAAAAAAGTCTGCATTACTTTTAAGGGAGGAGGGAAGCTTTCCGACTACACAATGCAAGAAGAAGAGATAAGACAGGGAAAGTTGAGGCAAAAAAAGCATGACCTTTGGCATGGCTTTGTGTGACAGGAGCACTGCTGAATAATGACAGCAAGTTCCCCTGCCTTCTTTCCACCTCAACTGTGAGACATGTTAAATTACACACCTACAACAATGCAGGTGAAGGGAGAGAAAAGTAGGAGACATGGTGGTTGAAAGAAGTAAAGTAGAAGAATTAGTTCACTTTTCCATGCTTAGATCACTAGACTTTATGAAATACACTGGAATCTTTGGCATACCTCTTTTCCTCTAAAGTATTGAGACACATGTATACATACAAGTGTACATATAGTTGAACCATACGTGATTAATTAATATATTTATTATTTGCCAAGTATGAGCAGTAGGCAGGTGAAGCAACTGATTTAGAGTATAGCTCTGAGCAGTTTTACCTTAGATAAGGCAAACAGATGGCAACTTGAAAGCAGTCAGTGACCTGAATGACCATCCTTTTCCAGATTATCGTCTTCTTTTGATATCAATTTTTCTTTTTAAAGAAAAAGGGCAGCAAACCCCATCTTAACACTTATTCCTTTCAGTACTTAATCGTTATCATGAGATGGAGGTAGCATAATAACTCACATTTTATAGAGTATGGAGCATAATAAGTCTACAATTGATGATGCCCAATCTTAATTTGTTCATTTCACCAGGAATTGAGTTGTGTTATGTTGGTTTAGCAGGTCTTTTTCTCCACTTCATCAAAATATACTTTTGAAATGAAAACATACATTTTATAAGAATACAGAAAATATATAATTGTGTTCCCCTTTAGGATCTTTTGTTGTAATCCCAATCAACCATTACCTCTTTATCTGTTGTAATGTCACATTTTCCATTACTGCAACAGCTACCTAGCCGATTAACTAAACACTTATACAAATGTTGTCACCAGTTGAATGGACTGGATAAAAATTTGTTACACCTCTTTTAAATGCAGTATCACATATCTGCTAGCTTTGGGTCATCATCTTACAAAGAGTTTGTGTCTGGCTATCCATGTTTTGATCATTAGAACATCACAAACGTGCAATGTTCTATATGCCATGGGGAATCTAAAACTAATAGGTCCACTGAAACACTTTATTTACGGGAAGAATAGTTTGTTAAAGGCCTTAAATATGGTATTTTGTGATAAATTAAGAGATATTCCTGAACACATTTATCTACATACTTTGGGATTAAGTGTGACCGTTTTGGATGAGCAGTAAATAACTTAATGGACATTTTTTAAGTTAACATATATCATTTCAAATTTCAAACAACTTTGACTTTTAAAACTTGAATTGCCAGTATAATGGAAACATTTTTAGAAGGAAGTATCCCTGGCAGTTTTATTAGTCATACACAGTTCTTAATTGCAACACCTTTCTTGCCTATTTTTTTTTTTACCTCCAGCGTCCCCCATCAATCCCCGGGGTTCATTTGGCAGTAAGTAGATGAATAAGTTGTTCATTGCCTTTTTATCAATGCCAGAATAAAATACCAAAGAAAAGACCTCTGGTGGATCTCTGATCAATACTTCTTGATCAAATGATTTCGGGTCGTTTAATATGACAATCGTTGTTGAGGATGCTGATGTCGTGGAAGCGATGATTTGGAAAAATGATTTACTGTCTCTGCTCACCTACTGTGTGTGTCGATGTTTGTGCGTCTACACCTGCCCTTGGGCCGTCTGTATGGAGCAAGATTCAGTACTTTTATTTCCCTGCTGATTTATGTTGCGACGTCTGCCTTTTGTGCTCACAATCACATTACCAGAAAGGAGGAAGCGGCAGGATTTTGTGAGTTGATTGTTTTTTTGCACACCTGTGTGTGTCTGAGTTTGTAATTCAGCATATGGGGATATTATTCTGAAATGGTATGCAGAGAGGAAAAAAAATCACTCATCTCAATTGTTACTTTTTTTCTTTCATACATTAAAAACGTGCACATGTGCACGGCTGCATACTAAACATGGTCACAGCCTGTAAATTTTCTACATCACAATGTGTGAAATGCATTCATTAAACGGGTCGTGACACAAATCTGTGTCACGACCTGTAGACTTTAAATGAAAGTTTCTGTTTTCTTCTCTTTCTCCTTAATCATCTTAAAGAATATAAAGTATGCATCTTTCTGAGACAGGTTTGTATGGTGGTTACTTATAGCAATTTCCAAACAAGAAGATGAGTCTAGAAAAATGGCAGTCAACCAGAAAAATATGGAGGGAATGGATAGAAGGTACATAGCTAATTAATATCTTCCACTGATATTTCTCTGTCAAAAAGATTATGAAAAAAAATAAAAATAAACCTCCACATATACGTATCAAAGTGTGGAGCACATCACCATGGAAACATAACTTTGGAAACCTAGATTAAAGGAGTCATGTAGGATTTGTTCTGCTCCACTGTAAAAATTGATATTTTAACAACAACATTTGATCTATTTTTACAACACATAAGACAAAAGATTTTCTTCTTCTTTTGACACGTTTCAAACATCACTGCAGTGTGTAGAATGAAATAATTTAAATGGTAGATAAATTAAGATTTTTTAAAAAGAATTCAGACTGATTTAAGTAATAATGTATGATTAAAACCAATCTTTTCCATCCACCTCCCACTTTGAGTATATAGTCTGAGACTGTCCACATTTGTCTAGTTAGAAATTTGAACAAATACTGTCCTAGCACTGTCAACTTAAAACTTATTTGTAGCGCATTTATTATTCCACTCTAATAGAATAGTTAATTTCTTTTTGGTTTGCTTGATTTCTTTGTCCAAGACCTTTTTGTCTCACCTCATCTATACTGCATGATTATAAAAACCACTGAGACACAATCAGTGGTGGGGAATTTTACAGTTTCAAGATGCTGAGGCGTCAAATGATAGAGCGATTCATATTTCATGAGGCTTTTGATGAAGAGGCAGATGGATGAGTGATCTTAACTGCAGTCAAAATGCATGTGGTTTGATTTAGAGTGTGTTTAAAAGATGAACTGACCTTACCTGTCCTTTTCTGAGTTGAATTGGGTCATGTAGACGGGATTATTTCACTGTTTAGGGAGATTTCAGCCTGCATGTGCTCTGTCCATACAATGAAATGAGCACGTTTGCCCAGAGTGGTTACTGTACGATATTTAGTTCACTACGTTAGTTGTATTTACGCCAGACTGTACACAACCAATTACAAAAGCATGGCTCTATATGTGGTCAAACATAGCCCACAGCCAATGCAGCCTAGTTATTAATGAAATTGGCAACCTGAGACTTAACACATGCACAAACACACACACACATCAACACTATATGAGGCTTATTTTCCAGTCAGTGGAAAGAGGTTAGGGGTACTTCACTGCATTGGTTTGCACAGTTAGAGGATCAATGGATACAGGGCTAAAAACTGGGCTAAAATGAGAACAGAAGAATAAAAAAAAAAATAGAATACTTGGAAAAAACCCACAATACCTGGTTAACTGTATGCAACAGTGTAAGGTACCCTGTGGCTCATTGCTTTTTCTCAGTAGCACTGCAGGCAGGCTGACATTTAATTGTACAACTACTGTAGCATTGATTACTGTCAGCTTTATCAACTGCTACAAATACTGCTGCATATTCTTTTTTTTTTTTTTAAATCTCCCAAGTGTTGCGGCAGCTTTAACTGATTTAGGGTGTCCTGTTATTGGGAGTGACTTACCCTAAAATAGGACTCATTCAAACCTATTTTCCTATTCAGTAGCTACATGCTTCAAATCACAATGAAACACATTTTCTGTCATTTGATTTTAAGTTTCTATTTAAACTGTGAATCCTCTTAGTATCATTGACAGAGTATGTATGAATGCTTTTTTTCCCCCTTTTCACATTTTACTTTACTATGTGCTGAGGACCTCAGCAAGGCTTACTGAGGTTTTGTTATCTGGACAATTTTCACAGGAAGCTGAATGTTGAACTTCATCCAGTTTATCTAAAATTCTGATAGATATTTTTACTTTGCTTTCAACAGGTGCTATCTTTGATGAGTCGGCGAGGAAAGATGACGAAGTGTTTCGTCTTGCGGTGGCAGATCTCAATTTGAACAATGAGATCCTGGAGACGGAAAAGATCACCATATCTGTAGAATTCGTTGATGGGAACAACCCTTTCCAGGCTGTGCAAGAAGGTATGGTCATCAAATTTCTGTATGTTGTCCTCAAGTCGTACAATCCTATGCACATAGATGGTATCTGACAATTAGTTCAAATCAAAATTGCAATTTTAGCATCTGCTTTCATTGATTTAGTCTTTTAATCACAGCTTGTGTGACCTGTGATTTGACCAGCATCACAATCACTGAGGGAAGGGTGTTGATTTATTAAATTCCTCTTTTCATTAAGTCATTTGAATACATTTTCAGTCAAATTTTGGACTAAAATCTAGAGGGCAATCAAATAATTTAAATGTGCACATACTGATTTTCATTCATGCAAGGTACAAATTTAATTTAGTCAAACCTTTTAATGTCAGAGAACTGAAGAATTCACATGGCCAGATATCCATCAGTCGTTTTTAAAAATTTAGAAATGGAAACTTTGAAAATCCTACCATGTGACTATTTCATCGCTCACTGTATATTTAGGGTTATCAATCATCCATTAGATCTACGCTAATTGTATATTTTCTACATAACAAAAACTGCTACTCCTACCGACAGCCTTTATTTATATCTACACACTCATAGTATGTGATGAACCTGAACAGCAAAATAAGGTATTGTGTTTTTGGCACTGTAATATTGCAGTTGTCAGCGCTGAAGGCTAGAAACTAGATGTAACGCACTTTTAATCGTCTCAAAGTACAACTTGGCAACAAAAAGGGCACGTATAAAACCCTTGCTATCCACGGTGGTGCACACACACACAGATGGGAACACATGGACGAAATGGAACTCCCATTTATGGTATTTATTTGTTATTTGCTTTTTTTTTGTGGAAAATTGGGTAAAAAACAAATTCTTCAGTACAGTACACGGCAAAAGAGCTTTCAACTGTTTTAGGATGAAAAGCAACTTTGCCATATCTGCCTGGATGACTCATCTGATGAGATCTCACACATTTTCTTTTGAACAGTGAGCGTGTGTCAGCGTTTGATAGTTGACCACAACTTCTTTTGAAAAGTATGCGGAAACCCATGTACTATTTTTCTCTGGATATTCTTCAATTTGTAATTCTATTTGATGGTATATTTTCTTATTGTCAGTGCAGATTCAGTTGTAAAGACAATCAGTGGACAAAAAAACCAAACAAAAGACATTTATTTGTCAAAATAAACCACTGATGAAGCAATAACATTTTAAGTATTGATGAACTCACTTTACTCAGTTAGACGATTTAGACCAAATTTTTCATGGAGAACCTTATGAGTAGAATACAATACAAGTTTAAGAGTGTCAGTGAATATTTTTGGCCTTTGACTGAATTACTCTTGAATAAGAAGGGATTAGCCAAAAATACAGTAATAGACAATTATTTAATGTCACAGCTGTGTCACAGTGATTAGATCTCATACTACATGTCAAAATTATTTATGGACATTTGCATTAGAACCACATAAACTGTCCTAATTTCATTATAACTATAGAATCCCTCTATCCAACGTCTTACTTAAGCAGATAAAAGAAAACAAGTCAAAGGATAAAAAAGATTGATTTGATGTGAGCAATGGGCTTTAAATATAAGCTGTAGTTTTGGGCAGACTTTTCATACTGATATGAAATAATGAAAAAAAAAGAGATTTTGGTTTAAAAAAAACATGCCTTTGATTTAATTAATTGAAAATCGAGTGCGGAGACCTCATTATCAACAAATCATGCATGCACAAATATAACCACATTTAAAACCTTAAAAATAGGCACAAAATAGCCTTGAGTCAGAGAACAAAGAAAAACTTGGAAAATACATTTTGTGAACTTGTTTGTATTTCAGTCAAAGCGCGTTTCTGTTTTGGAGAATTGTTGAAAGCACCATGAGACATACCGTGGGTGCCAAAACAAGATCCTTGGAAAGGACATTACTTTGAAATAAGGACTCTGCAGTGATGCTCAGTACTGGCTGTAATTCTTTGAAGTCCTGACCTTAGTTGTTCCATTAGCTGTGTTCTGTGTGCACGGCTCAAAATTTGTGTTTGTTCTTACGTATTTGGAGGGAAATGATTTTCTCTCACCTCCCGCATTGTGCTTTTTCTCTTTCTGTTGTTTTTGCAGGCCAGTCTTTGTTTTCGTATTTTTTTATTTTCTTTTTTTTAAAAGCAAATACATATTTAACATTCGTCAAAAGAACAATACTTCAGAAATTGCGATTGTTTATTATTTCAAGGTTAGACACACATACAGTTTCTAATTTTCCTTTGGACTCCTTTGAACAAACTGAGATGACCTTTGATATTTTTGCTTCCCCAATCCCTGACTGTTCGAACCCCAAAATCTGTTTTCTGGTCTATCAAAAAGTAGGAGCCCAGCATACTTATCAGACTCCGAACCGTATTACATGATTAATTTCACCACAGTCTGTCCACTGGTCATGTATTTACCTGTGCTTGTGTAATTCACCCTTTTGAATTGATCGGTTGTTTCCCCATATGCCTTCCTAACCACCCATTTATCTTGCTAACTAGTTGTCCAGCTTGGAAGTCGATTACATTTCCCTCTGTCTCTTTCATACCATAGTCTCAATTTGGCATTCTTAAAATAAAACTAAAGACAATTTCTTTACATGTGATATATGAAGAAATATTCTCGTTTTTGAGGCTATGCTTTGTGTGTTTAAGGAAACAACCCCTAGTTTCCATGCGATCATGCGCATATTGTAGTAAAACATTTTTTCAGTGTGTCTGATAATGAAAGTTCACGTCTTTTCATTTGTGAATAATCAACACCTATTTCCAAAAGCAGACATTTATCACGATAAAATTCAACTGTTCCCATCACGGCCAACCTGTTAAAGTTTTGTGTAAAATACAGCCTTCATCTTTCGCTTTTCCAAAACTCGGTTAGGAAAGCGTGAGATGCAGAAGAGAAACCCACGCACCCCCTATCCTAGTGATGCTCCCAACCTCACCTCCTCTTTGGGATCCTGAGGTGTTCTTAGGCCAGAAGTGAAATATAATCCTTGCATTGAGTTTTGGGTCTGCACATGGGCCTTCTCCCAGTTGGCTGCACCTGAAAAACTGAAAAGAAAGTGACCAGGGGGCATCCTAATAGGCTGCCCGCACCACATCAACTGGTTGTGCGGAAGGACACAGCTTTACTCCAGGCGCCCTTTGGATGGTTGAGCTCCTTACCCAATCGCTAAGGCTGATTTGTCAAAAGGAAAATGATTTCCAGTGCTTGTATTTTTAGTCTCTTTCCTTCAGTCACTTCCCAAATCCTGTGACCCTAGTTGAAAATTGACAGATGTACCAGTATTTCAAATGGAGCAGCTTACGGTGTGCTTCCACTTTCCAACAACAGATCGTTGTGGCATTTGTTGTCGCTCATTTGTGCTGATGAAGCCACGATCCTTGTGTCCATCTCTTGTTCGCACTTGTTCAAATATTCTTAAATTCTTCCACTAGAGGCAAAGACTCATACCTGACCTGGAGTGAATTCTACTTTTTTCAAATTGAAAACCATGGCCTTGGTTTCGACTTGAAGTAAATTAAGTGGAAACAGAAATAAGTTACCAGAATAAGAAAGCAATTATTTCTAAATAGTATCATGATTAAATATTCTTTTTTCTGTTTGTAAATTCTAACCTGAGAAGAAAGAATAATTCACTTCTATTTGTGTTACCTAAACTTCATGTTTGGTACAGATATCTAATTTAGGGAGTGTCACCATTTAAAATATGAAATGTTTCAAATTTAGACTAAATCAATTACATAATTAAATGTATAAATTGTATCATGGCCTTTAATGGGTTAATGAATGGATCATTATTTCTAGTATTATTACTGATATTGCTAAGCAATTTAAATAGATTCCACCGTAGCTAGGGTTGTAATTGATATCAACATTAGCAAAGGCACTCTTAAAAAGCTGGATTTACATACATTGACTGTAATTAGCCCGTTCTTGCATTTTCTGCTGACAATCCGAGTATAATTAGCAGCAGATTAAAAAAGGTAATGCTAATTACGTTATCAGTATTTGGACTTATTCAGAGACATTCTGTGTGAAGAAAAATTCAACTTCCATGATACTAGTTTGAGATCATCAAGCATAAAAGACTGAAGTCAAAATATTACATTTTTGCTAGGAGGTCTCAGAGGAAAAGGAAGGAGTGTTGAAGTTGTAATACGCAGGATGTCTCTGTAGAATAACGAGTTAATTGAGGCTAAATGTCTGATCAAAAAGGGCAGCAGCCAGATGATGGTGATTTGTGTGTTTCACTAACATCAAATTTACAACACAGCTGATAATCTCCTGGGCATTTGCTGCAATTAACTTAGAAAAGTGGTGTTATGGTAATTTCTGATTGATGATCTTTTACTTCAGTCGATCAAAAAGGAGTAAGAGGTCTCTGAAGAGAACACATCTCCTTATCAGGGTTATGGAGCGTTAAAAAAAAATCCCTTACTAAAAATTTCAATTATTCAAGTAGGTATGTCAAAGTAATTATAAAAAGGGACCTTCTATGTGAAAACGTTATAACAAATTGGGCCTAAAATGTTAGTTTTTTTCCTATGGACTCAGCGTTTTCTCAAATAGAATTATTTGTACATCATAATTAAAGTATAATGACTGGTTTGAAATGAGAGTACAGTTGCCAATCAGGAATGATTCCACACCTTTATGCGTAGTCTGTATCTCAGCAACATGACATGTGTAATAATAACAATTTATATTTTTAGACTGGCAATGCAGCAGCACAAGCTAGAATTACCCACTGTGTATTAACATAGCCCGCCCAGGTATTATAATGGACACGTTCAAGTGTGTACTCTCCAGAATAGTTAAATCTATGAACAACCTTTGTGCATATATTTCCAGTCTTCTGCCGCTCTCTGTCGCACGCACATTACAGCAGCTCCTCAATTTGCAATGCACATAAACACAAAATCAATACACAATCATGCACATGGTCAATGCTGCTTTGGGTGAGTTACATTATTACAGAGTAGATTTAACGATTTCAAGATCTTTTGTCACTTTAATCAGAAAGAACAAAAAAAAAATGTTTTTAGATAACATTTTGAACAAATCTTAGTTACTC